GTTAAAAGATAGAAAACTGTCTAAGTCACAGCCATAATAAGATGTGGCTGAAGTCTGACTGCTGAGAAAAAAAAGGTGCTTGAATGCTTCCTTTCTTATCTCCCTTAGCAGAGAGTACACAGGTCTATCCATAAGAAAAGGAAAGGTGATAATGCCACCTCACAATCCAGAGCAGTGCACCATCTGACGGTTCACAAACACAAACGATCAACTCGACCTGTCAAAGGATGCAGATCTTCATGTAAATTACTGATGTGTTTCCATCTCCTGGTATAACTTGCTAAGATGCTTATACAACTGAGCTTTTAATAATATCTTTACTTTACAGGTTAACTGTGAGCTTTAAGCTTTTTATGAAGTTGTTACTTTTGTCAGACAGCTCTAGAAGTTTTCTATATCTGTATAAAGACTGCTATATGAAAATGATCAAAGTAAAGTTGAGATTATTTTGCGTGTCTACTCTGCGTTAGTTAGGTCCTCATTTTAAGCCTTCCTTTATTGCCAGCCTTTAGGATTATCATTAATTAGTTTGACTTCAGTCACAGATACTAAAAGTCTTAATGAATACAAAAGTTTAATTACATCATCTCTTCACCGAGAAGACACAATATGAGTGGCAAGAATGAAAGCAAACACTCTTATTTCGCCGTTACATTTGGTAACTTCCCTTTTTTGTCTATTTTAACATGTGGCAAAGCATCTAAGATGTGCTTTTTGCAGTCCATCTTCAAAACATGGTTTGTACTACATTTCAAATCCCCATCAAGATCTGCCATTATATAATTAAATCCTTAAAATCTTTCCTTGACCTCATGAAGTTTTATACTGAGGTAAAAAAAAAAAAAAAAGACAAAAATGTCATCCATACATCTATCCATCCAATTCAGGGTCATGGGGGCTGGAGTCCAAGCTGACATGAGGTGAGATGCATTCAAATTCACACCTAAGGCCAACTGAGAATCATTAGTTGTACCCTGAGAGAACATGTAGCCTGAGAGAACACAGAAAAGGCCAACAGGTTGAGACCCAGACCCACCTTGCTGTTGAGGTAACAGTAATTACCACTATACTATCAGCTGCCCAGGAAACCACAACCCACAAACACAAAGAACTTTGAAGTGACTCTACTATACTACTCTCTTAGTCTCAGTGTCGTATTTTTTTATTTTATTCATCACATGTTTCTTATTATTGCAATTTTTTGCTTTTCGTGATGCTTAGAAAACCGCATGTACAGAATATTCAGTCGGCATATCCTGAGTGCCATGCCTGTCTTTTACCATGTCAGGACCCAACCTAGCAGTGACCATGGATACCACAGTTTGCCCTGCACCACTGCAACAGTCCATCACTGTAATCTATATGGTAATACTGCAAACAGTTTAGCCTGCACCTACTGTATTAATTGAATAAAATAAAATAATAAAATAAAATAATTAAAAACAGCTTCTCTATATGAAATAATGAAATAATGAGAATCACTGCAATTAAAAAAATAATAGCATGAAAAAAACCCAACAATACTACATTCAAGTTTCCAAGTTTAGTTGTGTTGAGATTGCAAAGAAAGCTACATTTGTTATTTCTTAATTGTCTGACTGATTTCTAAATTAGGTCGCTGACAGTTCTCTACAAAAAAATCAGTGCTTGTAGCCAAAGGTGTTTAATTTTCAAATGGTTTGATTTATTAAACCAGCAATACAACACTCAAAGATATTCAGTTCAGTGGCTCATAAAACAAAGAAAAGACAAAGCTCAACTGGGATTAGAGGAATTAGGCACATTGTGTTTCAAAATTATTTTATTAATATAATTATTAAAATAATTACTTAGAAAGAAAGAAACAAAATAGACTGGGTAACATCTAATTCACATTCAGAGATGGAAAGGAAATGTTTGTTTGGGTTTTTTTTTTCCAGGAGTTTGTGTTCTTGAGCATTTCTTAAGAACATAAACTCCTGGGAGATATTTTTTTTTATTTTTTTTTTTTAGATATTTTCTTTTAGGTTTTAAAGGTTAAAGTGCAACAGATTAATGCTGTTATGTTTGGATCCCCAAGAGGTTTGTCAGTCTCAAAGATAACGGCATCTGCTGCCTGTCACATGCTATTCTACTGACAACTGCTGGCAGCAACACACAAAGAAAGCTAGTGTAAATAATGAACGATGTAAAAATAACAAGTTAATGCTGTGGATATAAAATGCTGCATGAAGAAAAATGGCAAAACTGAGGCAAGCTTCTGTAAGTAGCACTTGGTAGTTGCAGACCCATCTCACTACTGCCAAGGCACTGACACCAAATGAACATCTAATGCATATCTGGCAATAAAATCCTTTCACAATTCCCAAAGGATCCGCTGCAGGTGTCACAGTTACAGGAAATGACACCCTTGCACAGTCCTGTACAGACTGTAATTGGCCAGGTACTTATGCAATGGGTGGTTTTGATGTGATTGACTGGTGTATTTCAAGAATAGACACCACCATCTGAAATCTTTTGTTGCGTAATCAGATGTAAATGTGATTAGTAGACAGCCTTGCCTTCTTGTCTTACATAAAGACTAAAATTAGATCATCCACACAATGACACAAATAAAATTACGTTTGAAGCTTCCAACCATAAAATGTAGAGTTTGCGATATTCGTGCAGCTACCCGAACATACTCGCTAACCAGACAACAACATTTTTTCCTACATCTTTGCAGGGCTTAGACAAGTGTCAGGATGTTACAGTCCACCCAGTGTAGAAGCAAGTCAGGAAGTGTGCTCTTAACCAAATGTTTAGTTCTCCTCAGTGATGACAGTCTGCTAGACAGGTTGGTCACTCTATTAAATCAGAGTTCCTCCTCCCCAGAGGCTGAAGTAGTTCTTGGGAGATTAAGGTGATAGAGTGTGGGTAAAGACAGCTGCCTGGGTCATATGCCAGGGGAGAACCTAGACTGCATTTTTATAACCTTGATGGCCCTTTTTACTGACATTTACAGTAAGCCCACTGCTTGCAGCAGAAAAGAACTTAGGTCATGCCAGACTACCGTGAGCCAGTCTCAGCTATGCATGTTCAGCCTTACAGAGCATTTATTCAGAATTCTCAGATTTGTTGATGAAGGATTAAAATGGCTGCTGGCCAGGAAGATTGCAATCCCCGTCCAAAGCTGCCTATTAGATATTTAAAACCCTTATCATCTGACAATTTTGTGAATAATTTCCATCATGTTATAATGCAGCAGAATTGCTAGGAGCCTTCAAATCATTTTCCTACATGATTAGAGAACACTGAAGCGCACTTAAGTTTATGCAATGTCTGATCAGACTAAAGGCTTTTCCTATTAGCATAATAAATGAATTAGAGCACCAGAGACAAGAATCGCTAGGCAGTTTTTCACCACAGGGAAATAATTTGGCCAATGTATTGTCTAACTGTTTGAGACAACAGTGGTGTGTCACCCAGCCTCAGCATGTTTCACCCTCCAGTGTTCCCGAAATCTTTCCATCCAACGAAAAGCCCTGCTGGTGCCCGGATTCTGCTGAACGTGGGGGTCCTATGATTTCTCTGCCATCTTCTGTTTTGTGATTAGTCAAAACATGACTGACACGGCGCAGACAGTAATGCGTCTCTGCGGCGACGTTCCATAAACACAAGTTGTTATCATGACGCTACATCTTTTCAGCAACACAGACTTAGTGTATTAAACACTGTGGCCTCAGGACTCAGGGTTTATCCTATTATCACCTGCTCGTGTCTTCCCCTCCCCTTGTGTCTTAAACTAAGGTTATTGCTCATCCACAGTTCAAAAGAAGGTATTTTCTTTATCTATTTTTTACATGCTTGCCCTTCATATACTAAAGACACAAGCAGCAGCTGTTATTTCCATGAAGTGTACAAGTCTTTGTTAGAGAGATTTTGAAACTGCCTGGGTTCCTGTGAAGAGTTCTGTGTAAAATTTACACACATGACATGTGCCTGTTAGTGTCCATATGGGTGAGAGTGCTTCAGCACTCTGGGATAATGGTCTCAGAGGGCTGTGGCTGAGGGTGCGAACATATAGTGAACTCAGGCCACAGTCATTTACATCAGAAGCAGTCAGAACCATCGTCATTTTTTTTGGTTCTCCTGCTGGATGTATATATTATGGATAATGAGGATTATAGGTCTCCTGGGATTGAATACTGTATAATTTACAAAGTGGTCTATGACACTTTTCTGCCCTTGAAACAGCACCACTGTCTTAGGACAGAGACTCGAAGAAGTGCTGGGTTGTGAGCTAAAGCTTGTTTAAGTCCTAGCAGAAACTTTAGTTTGATTTTTGGATTCATAGTTACAATTAACAAGCTGTACATTACGCCATCACCAGCCTCCACTCCAAAACAATGACAAAATGAAGACAAAGAAATGCCTGCATCAGTCCCATCCCCAAATGTGTGTGCATGTGTTCAGATGAGAGGTAGTGTCCTGCCGAGAAGCAAGCAGAGTGCTTGATTGCACAGACGGGACATTCTCATTAGAATGGCTATTTTAGAAAATACGGGTGCAGCAATATGATGATTGTGCTCCTGACAGCATTAAGTCCACTGAAACCGCTGCATTTTTAGGCACGACTTATCTCCAAGATTCCTTGTGAACATTCACGGGAAAAAATGCACTGCAACACTATATTAGACCAATAATAAAGACCATATCAGAATAGTTGTTGATTTCTGTAGTTCACTTCTTCCTTTGTTAATATTTTTTAACGTTTGCTTATTTTTTTATTTATTTGTACTATTAAAATGATAAAATGGCCTTTACAATTATAAACAGGGAGTGACAGTAATTTATTGAAAATAGAGGTTTAATATGATTTAAAAAGAAATGTCAGAAATGGAACTGAGGATGGATTCAGGAATTTATGTGAAGATACTGTACATGCACATCTTTCACTTTATTTAGGTTTTGTGTTCTATTATAGCTTGAGTTGGGAGGCCTTCTATTGCTCATTCTGTGTCATCTTTCTTTTTGTGCAGTGGCCATGGCTATTAACCATCAAGCTGGAGCCTGATCAACCAAGCTTCTCTGGTGCTACACTAAATGGACACTCAGAATATGTCAACCGAGCACGAGAAAGCCCAACGGACTGCTTAACACTTGCTGTAAGTACGGATGCGCTCTGACTCTGCAGTGATAGAAAGTTCACTTATTAGTCAGACCAAGTCAAACCCCACGAGAGATTAACTCATCCTCAGTTCTGATTTTCAAAACGAATCATTTCCAAATTATGACCTGTCTGTTCGACTATTGTAGTGAAATATCTCTCCCGCTCTCTAAACTCATGCCTGTTTTTTTTTAATAACCTACATTTTTGTGCACTGAATTTCTGAGCTAGCTTAATGCACAGACTACCCTTGAAGCATTATTAAAGTGTATATGTGACATTTTTCCTTACTTTCCAAGAGTATTACCAGAGTTACATATGAGCTCTTGAACTAAAGAGGAGAGCTCACCCTGTCTGTGTACAGACCCTCGAAATTCAGAGAATCACAGGTAAGTTTTCAATCATGGTTCCACGTACTAAACTGACACCGTTTTTGGTAGTGTTTATGAATTTAAAAGCAGTCCAGTTGAGCTAAAGTTTTTTTTTTTTTTTTTTAAGATACCAGCTCTATATTCTACCATTTATATATATCTGTAATCTAATTAAGGTTTAAACCTGATCAGTTCACTTTTTTGGTTTTATGACATTTGACTTTACTGGTTTTGTTTAGTTTCGTGCTCTTATTTTTTTAGAAATAACTTGATAAATCACACATTAACACTGAACAGCTGACAGAAATGTTTAGCAACGGTTAATATAAAGTTCCCTCGAGAGTTTGAAAGAACACTGCTGATTTGTTCATTGTTTGCTCTGTAAACATCTGTTTACTTATAACAACATGAGGCATTACTATGTCTTTTTTGTGTTGTTCCCTTGCCTTTTCAGATAAGTGACTGTTACTTAACGCAGATTCACATGAAAAGCTTTGACACCTCTGGTCGTGTTAAGACTGCTGCTTCATCGCTTCAGCTAGTTTATTTGTTTTACAGCTGCTAAACCGCAAACTTTCAGCTTTGTTGACTTCTCGCAATTCAGTTCACACCTGCTTTTCCTGTGATCAGAGGCTGTAGCTATGGCTTCATCAGTGACACTCATTTAATGCCCTGTGTTTGAAGACCTTTTATAATTGTGTAGCATGTTTTCCCTGTCAGTCTCCCTTAATAAAATATTTGCATATGTGACTAGACAAGAACATGTTTCCGAGGCTGTGCGTCATGTTCAGAAGTTTCAAAAGCCATCAGATCAGATGTCAGTCTGCCGTGCCAGATGAGCTCTTCAGACAAAAAGGACACCATGTATAGCTATGTGCAAGTACTTGATATCAACAAGCTCACTTCTCATTCGAGGGCCGCGTGCGGACATTATCAGCAGATGTGGCATCGGCACGCACTCACACATACTCACGCCACTGTTTGATGCCGTTCCCCTAACAACACTGTCAAGAGCTCTCCCTCTACATCATAGTGATGCTGTCCAGAAACATATCTCAAATGGAGTTGCGGCTCTTTGAACTGTGATTTTGCGTTGATGTGTGCGTGCACTTGTCTGAGTGACTGCATATCTGTGTCTCTCATTTGCATGAGAGTTTGTCTCTTTGTGCAGGAGCACTTGTAGTTAAGTGTCTGTACAGTCATCCATTTCATTTTTTTGTGTGTATATTTGTTTGCAACAGACACCCAAAGGACTGTCAGGTCAGTTGAGTGTCAAGTGAGCCAAATCCTTGGCACAGATTAACAGAGAAGGGTAGTGCCAGCCTGTGAGGGCAAGAGTAGTGGGAGCAGTCATAGCAATTAGGAACCAGCAACCTCAGCAGCCAGCCCTGCACTTACCCTGCCCGGCTCAGGATAACAGAAGAGACACACTCGCACAGACACATAGGCATGCATGGGGATGTGCTCACTACATGCCCACTTATAAGTTGGTAGCTAATACATATGCAACACTGCGCCAAACACCATCCATTAGGTGCAACGGGGGCTTGAGAGCACTGCTAGAAGTGTCAAATATGCATGAGAGAGTGGAGGTCTGTGTCTCATAATCCCCGAGGCAATTAATACAATCGTTTCCAGGGCCAAGCACCTATGTGCACACATCTAACCGCTCTATGGGCTTGTTGAATTTTTTAGGTAGACTAATTTACAGATACGTTGGCCAGAGGCTAGCTTTTATTGATTGGACCCGTCTGGAAGCCGACGGCAAGCCATACATTGAGAATTCTCTACAGTGATGTATGAGGCTGTGGGGACAACACATTCACACTGTAAAGCACTGCTGGAAAACTGTGTTTAAAGATAAAAAGCATCCTCTCCACATACTTATGCTGTAGCAGTGATTGAGCTGTGATGCAGTGTTTGATTTGCTAAATTGAGTTGAAGTTAAATAGCAGTTTAATTGTTTAATTATGACAGGCTGTGAAATCGTTTTCCGCTGAGACTTATACCATGTAAAAATCCACACAACACAAACATGACGTTTGTAGACACAACCGTCACAGAGAATTCAATTTTTCATTTATTTTTTTGGTTTCCATCGCATTGCCGGTCCTGCAGAGCGTGGCGTCATTTTCAGTGTATTGTAAAGCATTTAATATTACCTCGCTTTTTGTTGTTGCTCCTGCAGATGTTTTAGCCCCCCAGTCAAATATTGATTGAAATGCTCGGCCCAGTACGAGGCGAGGGGAGGGCTGATATTCAGAGGCGTTCAGTTGGTGGTGAAGCATTATTGATTACACTTAAAGTGACAAGATGGAGGAGGCCCACTTTGACACATTATCCCTATTGCTGCCAACAGACAAAGTGCGGGCCAGAGGAGCAGTGCCGATTGATTTGTGTGATCATGAACGCCCTGAGACCCATGAATCAGTTGTCCAACCTATGCTGCTTAAAAAGAAGTCAACAATTTTTCATGACAACATTGTAACGTAAAGACTGGCACCCTATTTGATTTAAGAAGGCAAGCAAATACCGGCGTAATGGATGATCTTCATGTACATTCTGACAAGGCGAAAAGTCCTCACACCTCTGGCAATAATACCTAGTGTGTAAAGCTGGTTTGAGAAGGCAGGTATTGTGGGCAGCTGGTTCAGGCATCTATGGGATTTTGTTGTGCATAATTCACTGGTGAGGCATGAAGCTGATATAGCCTCTCCCAGTCTTATGATCATCCATCAGGTAAAATTGCTTTCTTCTAACATTAGGCTGTCAACGAGAAATAACAAATGTAGCCATGCAGAGCAACACATGATTACAGGGTAATAATGCCCCGAGGTCAGAGAAATGTGACCTCATTCAGAGTAGTTTGTTGAAGGAAGCAAGAGAAATACTAGTCAAATTAGATGAAAAGTCACCAGGGAATGGCTCATCTTGCTTTGAGGTAACTGCTGTCAGGAGGCCCACTAGCTTTTTTAAAATCACTGTAACAGCTTGTTTCATATAATTAAAAAAAAAAAAAACATCCATTTTTGACTATGTGCTTAAAGAAAGTAGTCGAGCAAATATGAGCTTTGACCACCGCTCCAAAACATCTCTTGCCAGTTGCAGAGGGCTATTTTGAGCCACATCTTTGCTCTGATTGCTATTGTGTAAATCCATCACTATAATCTTCCAGGAAATTGCACAGGCATTTCCAGAGGTCTAATCGAGATATGGGTTCGCTGTCAGATTGAGTAGGAGTAAGAATAAAGAGGAAAATTAAGGAGAGTCGAGACAGATGGAATGAAGGCGTATATATTCAAGTTGCACATTTTTAAAAGTAAAATATAAAGAGATGCTTCGGAGGGTTGTGATGGGTTTGCGGAGAAGGGGAAATTAATAGGTAAACAAGATATAGCAATTTAAAGGAGGGAAAAAGGGGGGGGAAATGTTTGACACGCTTCAGTGATCGCAGATTCTTCCATCCCAATGTGCCTCTTCCTCTGTGTCGCCTGCAGGTCTCTGGTTTCCATGTGCTGCATAACCAATTACCCATGACAATAAGATAAGGATAGCCAGCTGCAAATGATTAACATGCACTAAACAAACACCTCCTGGATTCATAAGACAAAATTTGGATGCATGTAAAAAAAAACAAAAAACATGCAAATATAAGAGCCACAATGAACTGCAGGACAAGCATAATGCACGTAATTTTTCTGCACTCACAACTAGTGTAATGACAGGAGGCTCTGCAAAAGCAAACACCATGGCTTTACATCACAGCAAGCACGGTTATGTGTGAGCTTAAACTGTGAGGTCTAAATGGCGTTCTTCTTTGCAGAGAAGAGCTTAAAGGGCATTTTAATGAACTAAGCATATTGCAGTGGCATTCGATGTCACAGCAAAGTGAAGAATATGCTGTGTTCCCTACAAAGAAATTCAATGACATGGAAGTAATGGAAGCGAATCTGTGCACTGATAATATTGTTAACTTGAAACCAAAGTGAGATTTTCCTTGCGCTGGTTTCCAATCAAGAACAACTGTGGTGCAATTCACAGACTTTGCATAAAAAAGTCCTTCACCCTGAAGAACTAGAGTTCAGTTCATGTCCTCTATTACCATAGAAAAACTGAAACAAGTGGCTGAGAGGCACGTTCCTACTTGATAAGTTAGATGTGACAGCAGGCTCTGCTCCGCCCCGGGTAGTTTAGTGTGCGCTTGTGAACAAATACCGCAATGATGTGCAAATGTATTCTTATAACAACTTTACGCTGTTTAAAATTCCACCTTTGATTCATTTTATTTGTTACCTACAGTTTTTTCTCTCATCTGCTAATCAAAACGCAGGGGGGCTTTGGGGAATTTATGTGCATATATACATCTTTAATATTACCAGTATGAATTTCTGTGACATGGTAATATATTTTAATCATCTTAGGATTTTAGTGATTCAAATGAGCAGGTTTTCCAGCTGGGTGGGATTAGCAAATGTGCAGGGTGCTTAAACTGTGTGCAGGATTGTACCATTGTCTGTGCAAGTGCTAGTATACTTTATTTTGTGTGTAAATACTTGTGTGAATAAGCATCTGACCCTGTGTGGTTCATTTCCCCTGCTGGTTTTAATTAGGTTGTAAATGTCAACAT